CAGCAGCCGACGGGGGAGCCGGTGGTGGTGGTCCAGCAAGTGCCTTTGGGATGGCCGCAGGGGGCGCCTGAGGTGGCTGAGGTGCGGCCGGAGGTGCTGACGGAGGTGCAGGGGGCGGGGGTGGAGGACCGGCAGCTGGCGGCGGAGGAATAGCGGCCGGAGGCGGAGGAGGAGGAGGAGGAGCAGGACCTTTGCTAACTGGTTCTGGAGCAGGAGGTGCAGGAGGTGCAGGGGGAGAACTACTTGCTTGGTTCGCGGCGGCAGCATTCGCCAGTGCGACGCGTGACAACGTGCCTCCGCTCGTTGATGCTGATCGTGGCGCTGCCGGGGCGGCAAGCGAAGCTAACGGTTTTGTCAATCAAAAAAAAGTTCAAAAAGCCCAGCAACGAGTCAGAAACTTGGTCCAAATCCAAACTGAAACATGCATACAACAAGCAAAAGAAGAAGGCCACTCACCACCAGTTGCAGCAGACAAGGTGTTGCTGCGACTCCGTGTGAAGGCCTCTTGGCTTCGAGCGAGAATGTCTGCTAACGGCGAGGACTCTTCCGTGACGAAACAACTCGGACGCTGCGCCACCCCAACGTCTCACCTCCGACACTTCCAACGCTGCTCCTGCGGATCGCGAAACTGCTCGTGTGCCAAAAACGAGGATGGAGGATGCGCAAAGTGAGCGTGCATCGAGGGAAATCGTTTGTTCACATCGTCCTTCTCATCGGAATCTGTCTGTACCTGACTGTGTTTGAACCCACATGGGGTTGACGAAATATTCATCCGGGCGCCGAACAGGCGCGGAGGCGGGAGCAGCAGGCGGCAGCGTCATGCTGGTTGCCGAGGTGGCAGCAAGAGATGTGGAAGATGAGCTGGAACTGCGACTGTCGTCAACGCTGGAACTGCGACCAATCTGATCCAGGTTGGTCTGCGAGCCTCCAGGGTTGGCCATCGAGTCGCTGGCGGCACGCACGAGCTCGGAGGAAGGCCTGGGCCGTTGCACAGCTAAGCGTCACACAGGCAAGCAAATCATTCCAGGCAAAGTGAGACCAGGGGAAGGCGCGTCGCATGAGCATGGTGAGAGAGAGAGAGAGAGAGACAGAGAGAGAGAGAGAGAGAGAGAGAGAGAGAGAGAGAGAGAGAGAGAGAGAGAGAGAGAGAGAGAGAGAGAGAGAGAGAGAGAGAGAGAGAGAGAGAGAGAGAGAGAGAGAGAGAGAGAGAGAGAGAGAGACAGACAGACAGAGAGGGGGGGATAATGGAAAGAAGAAAGAAAAAAAAGTTGGTTGTTGATCACAAACCCCAACAATCTCGTCAAACACCGAGGTCTGCTTGACACGAGACACATTGAAAGTAAATCTCAAAGGGCGAAAGGTTGAAAGAAAAAGGAAATAATGAGCTGAATAGGGCGTGGAATGTGGTTTCAGAAATGAAGATCACGACGACGCGAATTGAGAGGTGCGCTGCTGTTGCTGCGTCAACTGCTTGTGATGACGTGAAGGTGACAGCATGGAGAACTCTGAAGGGGGGGGGGAAGCGAGACTGTGCTGGCATTCCAAGCAAGCGAGACGATGACCGCAGCAGCAGCAGCGTGACAAGGGGATTCAAGAATGCATCTGCACGTGGCTGGCGTTATTGCTCTTCAGATCACCATTCATCGCATCACTCTCTTGGAGAGCGCGTTTCAGTGCTGCATGCAGCAGCAGCAGCAGGATTCGACTCTTTCGCTCGAAAAAAAAAACCGAAAAACGGAGAGAACAAAAGAGTTAAAATGCACTGAGAGAACAGCAGCCTCCCTTACCACCAGACTTTTCCTGTGCTAGCTTGATGTAAATCTTGGTGACCTTGTCATTCTGGTTGCCCCCTGCGCTAATAACAGCCTGGACAATCTCGCTGGCCTCGACAAAGCGTGGGCCTGGTTTTGGAGGAGGACAAAAAGCACACACAAGAATGAGTGCAAGCGCAGTGGCCAACCGCCGGCCGCCGCCGCCACCAACCCTACCGGATTGCTTTCGGATGGCGTAGAGCGAGTACGAGGACGGCGAGGCGGCGGGGTCGTGCTTGGCGAGGATGGACGCGACGACCTCGGCCGCAGTGGAGGTCGGCAGAACGCGAACAGAGCGGTACGACTCGTCGTTCAGGAAAATCCGCAGCACGTCCGCAGCAGGCTTCTCCATGTCTGTAGCCGTAGCCAAGGTGAGTGAAGGTGAGTGCGAGTGAAGGTGAGTGAGTGAGTGAGTGATGGACAAGGGACGGGTCAGCCAAACAAGCGCAAGTTAAAATAAAAAATTAAAAAAAAATTAAAAAATCATAAAAAATAAAAAAAATCATAAAAAAAAAATAAAGGGGGAGGATTTGGATGAGCGAACGGTGCGCGCAGTGCAAGCCAAAGCTCACCAGCGATGGATGCATGGCGACAAGAGACGGAATGCGTAGGGAGAGAGGAAGACGGGGATTGAAAGAGAGAGAGAGAGAGCGAAACGAAGGGACGTTGGTTGAGCGAGAAAAATGAGTCAGATCGGGTTATTGAAGAGTCTCTCCCGACTCTGTCTCCACTCCATCGCTGCCCTGTGCTTCAAGGTCAAGCTTCAGCTTTCAGACACCACTTGTGAATCGAACAAGCGAAACAACCAGAAGACCCAAATAATAAAGTTAAGAAAAGAAAAGAAAAAAAAAAAGAAGAAAAAAGCGGCAAACCGCAAAAGCCGCCATCACTCGACAACAACAACAACAACAACAACCACAACAACAAGCAGCGAAAAGACCAACCAGAACGACCGACCGCTCAGTCTTCTGTCTTCTATCGCTTGAATGAAGTTGCAGCTGCAACGTGGGGGAGGGAGGGGGAGATGGTGAGATGGTTGACGCTGGGTCAACGCAAATCCCCATTCAAATACAAATTCACTACTGTGGCTGTCAATAGAAAAACGACAAAGGCTTCCAGGAAACAAAAAAAAAAAAAAAAAAAAAAAAAAAAAAAAAAAAAAAAAAATCATCATCATAATAAAATAAAAAGTATTTGGTTTATGTTTTTTGCGGTGACAGTTGTTTATGTTTATGTGTGTGTTTGAAGTGTGTTTGAAGGCTGAATGTTGATGAACAATTGTTGGATGATGATGGAGAGTAGAAAGAGAAGAGAAGTGAAAGGAGGGAAGGGAGAAGGGAAGAAGTGGGAAGTGGGAAGGGAAGAACGAAACGTGCCGGCAAACGAGTAGAAGCGCCGCCCCGCAGAAGCCACATAATCATAGTCCTTGGACTTCTTGGACTTGGACATGATGAATGAATGGAAAAAGAAAGGGGAAAAAGAAAGAGAAAAGAAAGAATGAATGAACGAAAGAAAGAGAAAAGTGAAGAAAGGAGAAAGTGAAGAATCAGATGGGAAAAAAAAAGATTGACTGAACAAACCAACCGAATTGGGATGAATCTGAATTGAACTGAGGGGATGAAGTTGAATGTTGAATGTTGAAGTTGAAGTGAATGGGATTGAGTGTGATATTGAGTGGTGGATGGATGCATGGGCGGGGGTGGAGGCGATTTGCTGGATCTTCGGGATTTAGGCCAGTGCTAAGAAGACCCCCATCCTCAACCAAAACTGAGCGAAGAGGGGACTCCTCGATAGACAAGATTCAGGATGGAAATGCATCGAACAAACTCACAGCTCGTCAGACGAGCAACGGAAAGACGAGCAACGCGGTCTGAGAAAACTTGACTTTGCTCAGAACCGTCAACCCCCAACCAACCAAAGCAAAGCAAAGCAAAGCAAAATCGATTGTCCTATTTTCGCTCATTCTCAGAGAGGCTCACTCGCTTTTTCATTATTGCACGCTGCTCCATCCTCTGACTGATGGTGGTCGACTTGCGCAGCCGCGACGAGGAAAAGCAGCTGGCTCAGACACTCGCCGCCGCAGTCGCCTCGCGTGCATTCGAGCAGTCTGCATCGCCAACGAAAGCCAAGGTGCGGCGGCTGTTGCGGCGGCTGGCAGTCCGACAGGTAATCACACGCGAGAGACCTGAGCGCTGGATCTCAGAAGCTGCCACACATGTGCCGGCTGTACAGCGATTCAAGCCCATAGCTATCACTATCTGACCATCAAACTTCTTATTGTTTGGATGTGACGAGCAGGCCCAGCGGCGGAATGGCGTCCGCGTGCTCAACCTCGACCAGATGGTCTGCAACGCGATCGAATCGGTGAAGGCATACCAGCTCGAGCGAGTGCCAGATGTACACTCATTGGAACAAGATTCTACTCTGCTCGTCCAAGGCGCCAAAGATGGGTCAATCACACCAAGTGCGCCGAGTCGAGACGCTCGAGCCAATCTGCTCCGATTCCAGGTCCGAGCCACCCCTGCTGCTGCTGCTGCTGCTGCTGCTGCTGTTGCTCCTACTGCCGCTGCTGCTGCTGCTGACCGTCCCCATGAGGCTTCTGCTGCGCCTCGTCGTGGACTGGGTGCCGACGTGGGAGGGCGCAATTCCACTCCCCAGCAGACCGAGTCGTTTTTTGCCAACAAACCCTCAGCCACTTCCAACACAACTGCTGACCCTTTGTCGTCAAATATGCTCGAAAACCCGACCCAACAAGCACCCACATCCGAAATTGCAAAGCAGGGGACTAGAACCATGGCGACTGCGATGGAAATCGACGCCTTCTTCCAGCTCGGCGACGACGGCGAAGCGCTCGACTCGCAGCTGCCAACGGAAGGCTGGCTTGATAACATTGACGAGATTCTATCTGCAGATGTGTCATCTCACGTCCAAGCTGTGCTTGCGGAGCCATCAACAGTTGATGACGACCCTCCTCGATCGCGATTCCTCGAGCGATTTCAGGTAGAGCCAAAGTGCATGAAACTGCTGCTGCGTTACTGCTCATGCAGACCAACAATATCTCACTGCTTGAACCTTCTCTTGGTAATCAGCGGATTAACGGTGCAGCCGCAGCGACAGCCTTCTTCCAAATGAGTATGACACTCAGAGAACGAATGCAAGGCGTTTCGAACGCTCGCTTGCTGCTCCCAGTCCGAAGCCCCTTTTCAAACCTACAGCTCAAACCGTTCATTCGGCGAGACTTTGAGTCGAAACCACCTCGAATGCGACTACTAGAAGAAATTCGTGCTGAAGGGCTCAGGTGTGTGCACTGCGCCTGTTTTGTATTGTTGAGTGTCGAGCATGTTTCTGATCTTTTGCATGCTGTGTGAGTCTAGACGGTTTCCAGCCGATTTCGATTTAGCCGCATCTTGCGCGCCGGCGCCTATTGATTACTGCTACGTTCGGCAGCGGCATATTGCGAGTGTCAACACATTGGTGCGCTCGTTATTCTGGCCTGGTATTGACCGTAAGAGTACTTGCAGTCGTGTTGCTTTGGGCTGTGATGGCGATTTGCATTTGCGCTCAATTGCCACTGCCATCCTTTTTTGTTTGTTTTTTTCCTTGACCAGTGACCGACGCCCTGCAATTTCCAGACCACAGTGTTGTTGTGCTGTACAAGAAGCTTCTTATCGGATGCGCATTTCTAGTGCCAGATGTGAAAGTACCAAACAGCTTGAATTGGCAAGAGTTGAATATGATTCCGTTTTTTTGTTGCTGACTCATCATCGCCCTCCCTGTGGTTGCAGCTCAATGAAGCGTACGTTACGTTCGTTGCAACACACCCAGCATGGCAGGGAGCCGGTATTGGAGCGTATATGGTGGACCACTTGATCAGGGTAAGGTTGAAAATCTGCCGACTTTGTGCTAGAACTTGTGCATGGCAACTCACACCTTGTTTCGCCTGCTCCAGTCGTGCTCCGGTCGTGACATTACTCTCCACGTGTCAACGACAAACAAAGCCATGCTCCTGTATCAAAAGTTTGGATTTAAAGCCGAGCAATTTGTCATTGGGTTTTACGATCGATTCTATCGCGACGACTCTGCCGAAAGCAAGAACGCCTTCTTCATGCGTCTTCGGCGATAGAATTTTGTCAATGTACAGTAATTTATCTTTGTAATATACATCCATTAACAAGTGGCCGCTCTAGCGAACGACAAGGCGAATGCGCGAGCGTTCCGCCGTGTCGGCTGCAGCACAATTTTCACGAGTTGCACTCGCAGATTGCACGAGGGTGTAGGTGCCCGGAGAAAGGAAGAGCAATTGTATCTGGTGATCGCACGCTTGGTTTGGGGCGAGCTATCCGGGACAAACAGAAAAAAAAAAAAGCGGCGAGTCAATCCAAAACAAGTTAGGACCAACCAAAACTCCCAAATCTAAAACAACGGAAACGAAAACTCCAGCAAAACGAGGCCTACCTCGGTGTGCCGCATGCACATGGTTCCGGTCCACATGACTCGGGCCGAAAGGTCGGTCTCGACCAGCCCGTTGTGCAAATCCAACAGCACCTCGACGCGCGATTCAAGAGACGAGAACACCTCGCCTAGAGCCGTCAAATGTGTCAATGAGCTTGTATGCTTCGTAGATGAGCCTTGCTTAGCAGCCAAAAAAAAAACTTACCCGAACAGTTCGCCACACGAAGCGTGATTGGTACGAATTCAAGCAGAGGGCAGCACACCGTTTGACGGTCGATGGCAGCCTCGCCAGCAATAGACAGCCCCACAGAGAGCTCTTTGGGTCGCAACCGTATCAGAGCGTCTTTCGAAAGCTGGATGTTGTCGAGTTGGACTAAGCCACGGACACTGCTCATGGGCAGGCTCCATTCCACGCGGTAGAGCTGCGCGAGCTTCTTCTGGAACCAGTACAAGGCAATCTACGCATGGTGTACAGCATAGCATCAAAGAGTTGGATGACAACCTGAAAAAGCTACACGCAAAGGGAAGGGCTGAAACGGGGATTACATACCTCGTCTGAGGACCATTGTCGCTCGCGTGTGACAACAAACTGTCGAGACGGGTCAGTTGGTGGCGGAGCCGTGCGGAGGAGCTGCTCCGACAGAGCAAACCGACGAATTGGGAGATAGACTCTGCATGCAAGATGTTCTAGTTGGGTTCAAAGAGATTCAAAGTGCAATACAGCAGAGCTAGCGAACATACCGCATGGCAGAGAGGGCATTCATGGTCACAGGGGTCTGCGAAACGGCTGTAGCGGCGTCTGAACAAAAGAAGACGGCGTTGTTGTTAAGTGCCATCTCTTGCACCCGCACAATGCACGTAAACGCCTTACCACAAGCTGCGAAGGCCACTTGCGCCGAGACATGCGAGGAATTGGTCACGTCGAGAGCCAGGACGCAGAAAGAATCGCGAGTCGCGCTTTCTGGCAGAACCTGAGAGCTGGCAATGTGATCACTGGAAGATGCCAAAATGTCAAAGTTGCTAAACTCCAACAGCGGCACAGACTCGATGGGAAAGTCGATGACGGATTGTCGATAAAAGTCGGGCACGGCGGTAGAGCCATATTCACAGGTGAGGGTGGCTCCGCAAAAGCCACGGAGGGCCCACACTCCCAAGGGCAGACTTGCCTGGTGGCCCGGCTGAAGCGGGATGATGCCTCGCCGAGCAATTTCCGCTGATTGCGGGAAGGTGCAGGGCTGGTCATTCTGGCTCGCAATTTCATCGCTATTAGACGACGTGGAAGTCAGCGTCGCGGTTGACAACGTGTCGCTAGGTTGCTGGAAAAAGTGGCCCGGCTCTGCTTTGACTGTCAGCTTGGATGAAAAGTAGTCCACGACGACATTGCTCGAGTTGGTGACAATCAAGGATGTGTCAAAGCTAATTCACAGGAAAGCAAAGTCAGCAGCGCGATCAATTTCATCGTCCAAAAGCTCAGACATGCAGAAACTCACAATTGGCCGTGATACATTTTCAACGTCGTGCCGTGCTGAGTGGGATTGGGATTGAGTAAGATTTCCATGACTGGCATCTCGGGAACAATCGTGAGACTAATGGGCGGAATGGCATGCTCGGCATTGACGCCAAACACCCTCGAGATGACGCTGCGAACGCGGACTGTGCCGTGTACTTTTGCAGTTCCAAACACGGACAAGTTCATGGCAGCTGTGTGCGGAGGCACCGTGGTGCTGATGGGAAGGCTAGAAAAGGGCGAGCCCGATGTACTGTGGTGGCATCCAAGACGCGTTAGGTGGAAGGCAACACATTGAGTTTTTGCGGGCAACACACGAACGTCAATTTTGACAAAGCAAAAGTAGCGCCTACGTGAGCTGGATGGCCTCCACGAGCATCGGGAAGGCCATGTCGTTCGAAAGTTCAATTTGAAGCTGCAGTAGCTCGCCCTGCGCCCAGTACATTGTCTTCTGCATTGTAAAAGCAAAAAAAAAAAAAAAAAAAAAAAAAGAGACAAGTTTGATGCAGCCGCACATTTTCCATAACTCTTCGCGGCGACGACAAACCTCTCGAGAAGGTCCACTGCGCTTGCCGAAAGGCGTGTAAATGAACAACTCCTTTTTGACAGCTTGCGTCTCTCGCTTCCGGATTTCCAAATGTGGTGGGGGACTAATCAAAACACCAACGAAAAGGGCACAAAACTCAGTGAATACTGCATTCCAGCTACAACCAACAAATCCAATAGACCTACGTGGGTACGAAGACGCGGTGGATGTTGGGAAGCTTCTGGAACAGCAAACCACCTCCAGCAAACTGAAGCATGGAAGTCGATGTGGCCAGCTTTTGAGCCAGGTCGCATTGCTCGCTGTGGGACAAAAAGTCGTGCAATCTGTGCAAAAAGTATGAAATGTACAGCACGGTCTTCTTTGGGTCTGTGTCGCGCTCAAAGCAAACAGTCAATCAGTAAGAACTCAACAAAAGGCGAGCCACACTGTCCTAGTCATTCATTACCGTTGATATGGCGGGATGCATAGATCAGCTCGCGCATGATTCTCGCTTGCAGGTCCTGCCAACCCAGACCTGATGCACGCAGGGATGTCTCCAACAGCGGCAACACGGCCGAGTCTGCGAGATGACAGAAAGAGAGCCCCACCAAGCGTGAGAAAACGTGACGACAATCTCCCAACACACAAACCCGCATACTACTCAAATTGATCGCCTTACTATCACTGGGACGGTTTAGAAACTCAAAAAGGCTTCCCAGGAAATGAGCGGGCAAGCACTGGAGCAGCAGATAGTGGCTCACAACCATATCTGTTCGGTTGACGCCCTTGGTGAACAACAACGAGAGGCGGCGCATGTAGAAGGCAGCCTTGCGTTTAAAGTTAATGGCTTGGTACAAAAGGATGAGAGAGGAGACCAATCGGATCTGTGTTGCACAGTTTCAAGAGTAGAGGAGCAGGTTTTAGCATACAGCACAATTCCAGTCGTTCTGTTCGAGCAAATCCTCAACCACCGTACCTGATCATCAATGGACAGTTGCGCATCAACTCGTGGAATGTCCTGTAGCGCTTGCGCTGCTTCCAAGAATGCACGACGCGCCACGAAGAACTTTGCAAGCTTGACCATCAGTTCAATCTCAAACGGCCCTGCGCCCTTCACCTTGGTGTAGTTGGCAAGGGCATCATTGCACTTTTCGACAAAGTCAGACAGAACAAGTGGGTCGCCCATCTTGTGCTGCAAAGGGAACGAGGGAGCAAGTAAAGAAACGAAAGTGAGCAGGCATGGTTTTGACTTGCCCGTAAAAACCCGACAAACGGTGCGTACCTTGACGAGCAATGTGGCAGCAAAGCATTCAAGACAGCCAGCAAGATACAACCAATCATTGGCAGACTTCGTCTGCTCGATCGCTTCGGTGTAACTGGCGTTCAATGGAAAAAAAAAAGTACAGAAATCAGCATTCAGTACAACAACCTCGCAGTCTACTAGAAATGAACAACAGCGCTGGTAACGTACTGAACGATTGCATCGTCAGGAGATCCAACCAGAAGACAAATGTCGCCAGCAAGCTTTTCAAACCGGCCGACGATTTTCTTTCGGTTGGCGTTGTAAAAACGTGCGTCGTCGATTCCGCCGGTGCGCTCCAGAAGAAGTGATGGCAAGAGCTTTTTGTCATCTCTCTCGGCAATTTTCGAATGGTGCTGTGGCGGACACGCACACGCATTGGTGAGCATACAAGAAAAGTCTTCTGTCACCTCTCTCTTTCTCACGCCTAGTGAAACCTCTCCGACGAGCCTTACCGCAGCGGCAAGTAGATGAACCAAGGACAAGGTCATATCGTTCAGAATGGTGCTGATATAAAACTGAACATGCTCGCGAGCCTGGTTTGGAATCAGAATGACATGCTTTTCGTTGTCTTCCTGGGCATCCTGGGGTTCGAACGCAAAGCAACGCACGTCCAGAACTGTTGGAAACTGACTGCATGCTGCCTGAAACTCGCGATAGGCGAGGCGCAGGTCGACTGTATGCTGGCAGTTGATGATGCCGAAAATCTGCACACCAACCAGCCAAAAACAGCAACTCAGCAACTGGACCCAGCTCAAGCACATGCACACAACAAACTCAAACTGGACAAAAAAGTGTCACGACATACCACGAGCGTTCGCTTGGAGAAATGAAAATCAATCAGCTCGTCGTTGAAACCGGGAGCAGATGAGAATCCGGCGTTCAACAGCGTCGTTTTCGGGGCCGCTATGGTCGGAATGCTTGTCGGTGCACTGTACAAGCCTGGAGCAACAATGGGCTGACTTGCGTGCGCTGCACTGAGCACGGCGGGAGTTTGAGGCGACGATCGGGGAATGGGACTTGGTGCACGACGCTGCTGCTGTTGCTGCTGTTGCGGACCCGCAGACAGCTCGGCTCCAGCGGGTGTTCCTGTTGCAGATCGTGCCACGAGTGGCGTGCCACTGCCTGAGACGCTCGGGCTGCTCAAGCTGTCTGAGCTGGATGAGGTTGTAGCCGTCGAAGAGCCAGCTGGTGTTCCAGCCCCGCCGGCCGCTCTGCTTGCGATGGGTGTCTGAATGCCAGGGGCTGGTGGTCCTCCAGAGCCAGCAGAGGGAGACGCAGAGGCAGATGCAGCTGGAATGGGCAATCCTAACGGTCCTGCTGGAATCGCTGCGCTGCCCGGGCTTGCCAGCTGGTTACTCGCTGCTGCGCCTGCATTGCCATATGCCAACGGTGCAGGGGTGCTCGCGGGCGACGGCGAGACGGACGGCGCGATGGCCAGATCGAGCTTGATGACGGCCTGGTTGGTGTCCAGTCGCGGGAACGCGGCTACAGCAGAGAGAGCGCACAGTTCAGCTTCATTCAATTCAATCAATTCAATCAACATCACGATGCATGCATGGATGTACCTCCGATGGCCGGCGTGGCGAGCTGGAGTGCAAAGTCAGCGAGCGCGATCGAACGCGAGCAATCTCGCAGCAGCCGAAAGTGCTCGAGCAGCTTTGTCTCGGAGATGCCGCCAATGCCAATCACAATGCCGCGGATGTGGCTGAGGTCGCCAATCTCCTGCGACAAGTCCATTTTTTTGCCGAGGTGGAGGAGTGTTGTGGTTTCTACACAAGGGGCCTCAGATTCACACAACAAAAAAGCAAAAAAGGAGAACTGCGATTCTGAGAAATGAAGTGTGGTTTTTGGCATTGAATCTCAGCACCCATCGTCATACTGTGTGTTCTGCGTTTACTTTTAGCTGCACTCTCATCTCAGACAGTCAGTCTTTTCTTTTTTTCAGCAGTAGTTAGAATGGCTGGCGGCAGGCGCGGAAGAGCCAAAGCGGCCTCCAATGCACCAGGTACTCCCCCTTCCCCTCCCCCCATTCATCCATTCATCGATTCATCCATTCATTCATGCAATCATTCATGCAATCATTCATTCTATAAGCACCAGCATTCGAGTCCAGAGAGCAGCGTGTTGGCAGCAGCATGTTGTGCATTGTAATGGGGTTTTCCATTGTGGCAATCCACATGGCCCTTTACTCTCGACTCTCAATACGATAGCCAAGCCGCCCCCCCCCCTCCTCATTTCGACCTGCCTGTCACTGCGGATGACGAATCGCATTTACTATTACGAAAACAAACATCAAAAACACTCACATTGTCAGACCTGCGACTGACTGAGACTGAACGAAGCAGCAGCGCGACTGGATCCACGTTGTCCCCCGAGTTCAGCTTTCCCCCTTCCTCATACTCACTCAGACTCACTCATCCTCACTCAAACACTTAACATCAATCTCAACTTGAACACACACACTCTCTCTCTGGCTTCATACAGACACGCGTCTGGCACAGACATCCGCCGCTGCAGAGCATTTCCCACCGGCATTCGTCGCCAACCAGGGCGGACGCGGATCCAAGCGCGCGCTCGAGGACGTCGAGACCCAGGCTGCCTGGCTCGCAGACCGGCCCGAGGTGTTCTTGTCGAGCATTGTGGCTGCTGCGAGTGCTGCGGCAAACAACGCGGGTGCTGCGGATCCACTGAGCACGGCGAACGGCTCGTCGTCCCAGGCACAGCTGGTCACTGCGCTGCGTGCGAGCATTGCCGGTGCTGCAAAAAACCTGTTCGACTATGCACGCGCCATGGAAACGGGTGCGATCGGCAAGCCGCTCCACCCGTCACTCAAAAAGATCCCCATCAACGAGCTCGTTGTCGACGGATTCGAGACAGAGCAGATCTGGGAGGAGCTGCAACTCCGAAGCGGACCCGTCACTGCAGTCTTGGACCGCTCGGTCGACACGCTGCTCAGCAACCAAGCGACCATCCCCATTCTCAGGCAACAACAGGAGCAGGAGCGTGCTTCCCAGCGTGCGCTTCAAGAAGCCCCAATCTCGTCTGGCAAGCGTGCCAAGAACGCGCTCGGCGATGCGCTCGCCTCTGGTCTTGAGTTTGCCGACGAGAGCGACGACGACGCCGACATGGACCTCGAGGATATGGACCTGGACGGTGGCGAGGATGATGATGACGAGAATAATTACGATGACGATGAAGACGACGCGCTTTCCGACGAGATGGACAACCTCGACATGGACGGCGACGACGACGACGACGACGACTCTGAACGCGACGAACTCCCCGACAGCCACGAGGACGACATGTCTGGCCGCGCACCAACCAAAGAGCGCCAATCCTCCATTCTTAGCAACAACAAATCTCAAAAGCCATCGCGCTCCTCCAAGCGCGGCTCGGCGGTGGACGACGATTTTTTCAAGCTGTCCGAAATGACAAAGTTTTTGGAAGCCGCTGAAGACACCTCGCGAAGCAAGCGACGAGCTTCCCGCCACGCCGATGACGACATGGGCGAAAACGTGGAGGACGCCGACGAGGATGCTGAAGACGGCGAGGACGACGACGAAGACGACGAAGAAATCGACTTGTTTGTCGACCCCGACGAACTGGACGAGGACGATGACGATGACGACGACGCTGGCGACCGTGCAGAAGATGACGACAGCGATGCTGACAACGACGACGACGACGACGACGACGACGCGCACGAAGGCATGACGCTCTCACAAGCCGCCGACGCAGCACGGCGACGAGCGCGTGGCCTCAAGCCGCTCCCCGTCAATGGTGGCAAGGGCAAGGGCAAGAAAGGCGCCGCGGCCGCCGACGATGACGATCTTGATTTGGAGGACTCTGATTTGTTGCAGCAGTTGCGCGCCCGTGTCAAGGGCAGCAAAACACGCACCGCCAAGCGCAGCGCTGCCGAATTGACCTATGCCGACTTTTTTGCAGACCCCAACGCGAGCCGAAAATCTCGACCCGGTGCCGAAGACGGCGACGACGACGACGACGACAACGAGGCCGAGGAAGAAGACCAAGCCGAGGACGACGAGGACGACGAGCAGAACTTTGGCAGCGACGACGACAGCTCGCCTCGCATGCGTGCCAACAAGCGTCAGCGCGACTCTGACGAAGAGGCAAATGACGAGGACGACGAGGACGGCATGGACTTTGAAGCAGACGATGATATCGACCGCAGCGCAGAGGCGTTGTCGCGCATCTCGCCGTTTGAGAAAAAGTCCATGGCGCTCCAACGCCAGATTGCCGAGCTCGAGAGCGCCAACGTTGGAAGCAAGCCGTGGCAAATGGGCGGCGAGGCCAACGCGAAGGCTCGCCCTGTCAACAGTTTGCTGGAGGAAGACGTGCTCTTTGAGCGCACCTCGCGTCCTGCACCCGAAATCACCCAAGAAACAACGCAAACGCTCGAGGACTTGATTCGAGCGCGTATTCGCGACAGCGCCTTTGACGATGTGGCACCACGAAGACCGTTGCCCGACAAGGACAGTTCGCTGGCAAACAAGTCGCGGCAGGCGCTCAACGACGAGAAGAGCCAGGTCGGCTTGGGCGAGCTGTACGCCAAAGAGTTCCAAGACCAGCAAGCCAAGGCGCAGGCCGCGGCCAACGGGCCCTCTGCCATCGACGTCCTCACCGGTGCGACCGACGAAAAGAAGATCAAGCAGCACGAGGAGATTGATGCCTTGTACGCCAAGCTGTGCCAGAGCCTGGACGCCCTTTCCAACTTCCACTACACCCCGAAGCTTGCCAAGGAGGAAGTGGAGATTGTGTCAAACGTCCCTGCCGTCTCGATGGAAGAAATCATCCCGACCACGGTCGCCACCACCACGCTGCTGGCCCCCGAAGAGCTGTTTGCGAGCCGCTCCCGAGGCCAGGAGAAGGGCGAAAGCGAGCTCACCGATACGGACCGCAAGCGCGGACGCCGCAGCAAGAAGAACATGCAGCATCACAAGCGTGTCGATGCCGAGGCCAAGCAGCAAGAAGCCGAGCGGGCGGCCGTGGCGCAGGGCAAGTCGGCAACCTCGGCCCAGTCCAAAGACCAGGTTCTCGAAGGCGTTTTGCGTTCCGCCCAGCAAGGCAACGCGACCGTTCGCGTGGTTGGCAAGGCTGGCGCGCAAGCCGACGGCAAGAAGCAGTCCAAGGCGCTCAAGGCCGCCACGACCGTTGGCAAGAAGGACAGTGCGCTCACCTCGTCCACCGCCTTCTTCTCGCGTCTGCAAGACCAAGTTCAAGGAGGTGCGACCGCCGGCGGCAAGCCAAAAGGCGGTGCTGCGGCTCCCAAGGCGACGTCCTTCAAGTTGTAGACGAGCATTTGCAAGTGTTGCTTTTTTTCGCTGTCTCTCTTGTCTCTCTTCTCTCTCTTCTCTCTCTCTCTCCTTTCTTCCCTTTCGTGTCTCTCTTTGTCTCTCAATAATCAAATTGAACAATCGTTATTGCAAACAGCAAACCCATGTCGTTTTTTTGATTCCACGACCAACCGATGTTTCCATCCTAGCAATTCACCTTTTATTTCTTGTTTTCACCATTATACACACTTTCAATTCTTTAAGCAAAAGCACCTCATTCTTCAACTCTTACACAGCCACAATGGGTCGACTTGCGCGCTCGCGCTCCCATCACAAGAACAAGGAAGTCCACAGAGCGGCTCGCGTCCGCCACCGCGTCAAAGATACGTTGTTGTTGTTGTTGTTGTTGTTGTTGTTGTTGTTGTTGTTGTTGTTGTTGCTGCTGCTGCTGCTGCTCCAACCGCTCCCGGTGTTGTGTGCTTTGCAATGAGGTGGGGAAGGGGGTTGGGGAATTGTGAGTGAGTGAGGCAGCGAGAGTGAACACACGTGGAGATTGAGTTTGGCTGGAGCAGCACTAGCAGGTCCCTCCTCCCCATCCGCTTCAGCACACCAGCCACCCCCACCCCCGAATAGTAGAGCCGAGACCAGCGTCGCAATGCCATCAGAATCGCCCTTGGTTGAACCACCCCCGCATGTTCAGTCCATTTGGCTGATCGTTTGTTTGCTGACCTGCAACTCGCTCTGTACTTGCTGTCGTGCTCTCGTCAACCTGGACATGCTGCCGTGCATCGATTCGTCATCCATGCGGACGTATCTACTCGTTCTGATGGACCTTCGGACGAGCACATCTCGATCAAATTCTGGACGACCTCAAGCCCGAGAACGTTGACAAGCTGACTACCCAACCCATCTCGATGGATTTGCCCGGTCTTGGCCAGTTCTACTGTGTTGCATGCGCGTAAGTAGAAGTAAAAGTAGATGTGTGGGGGCACGTTAAGCAGGAAGCGGTGCTGCGTTTCCGCTTTGGATTCACATTTGGTTGTTTCGGCTGTGATTCTTCGCGTCAGACGCTACTTTATCGACGAGCTTTCGCTTAACGTGCACTTCAAAAGCAAGGTTCACCGACGAAGGTAATCGTCACATCATGACTGACTGTCTGCGAAAGCTTGTGTTCGATTTGTGTTTTGTTTCCAAGGCTTTTTCCCACGACGCTCAACAATTTCCGTCGCGTGTGGTGCTGGGACTCTTCCTTGAATGCCAACCGTGATATTGTCATTCCGCAGATTGAAGGAGCTCAAGGAACCCGCATATACTCAAGAAGATGCTGAAGCGGCTGCAGGCATGAGCACGACTCTTACTTCCCGCTCCAACGCTGCTGGTGCTTCCGGGAGCGGCACAACATCTACTGCTGCATCATCATCTGCGCCCGCACCAACAGCAACCTCCATGGATGCTTGATTTCGTTTTGAGATGATACTTTGGAGTCGTGCGAGGTGGTTTGTGACCCCTTTCTGCACGATGGTTCTGTGCCCCATTTGTTATGACAATACGATGAATGATATTCACACCCGCCCCCCCCCCGCTTGCAAAAAAACCGAGTCCTGCAAGTGAAGGAATGTCCGTGAATGCTATCACTTGAAACCCCAACGTATTTTGACGAATACTGTTCCGTTGCCATTGCATGGTTCACAAATGCATCTTGTGTGTCATTGTAATCTGGAGTGACAACTAGAAACGATTTAAAAGTACAGTATATTATGGCAAAAGCTACAGCAGAGGCCTATCAATCACTGCCGTTTCCTTCACTGCCAACAGATTTGGGTTTGGGGTCCGCCCGGGTGCGCAATGCGCTTTGAACCAGCTCTTGCGAAAACCGCGGGTCCCGGAGGTGGCCAGGGCCCTTGTTGCCGGAACCCTTGCTGCCTTCGCGTCGAATGTTGTTAAAGCCCTTGTTGCCGCGGTCGACAAAACTGCTGCTGCTCTCAAGAATGCTGGGTCGAGGAATTGTCACCTTGCCTCCAGCGACTTCATCAGAAGCGGAGGCGGTGGCGGATGTGGGAGTTGGAGCTTGGCGATGCTCGGAAGTTGCTTCCGACCGTGCTGTTGAATGGCTGGCTGGAGCTGCTGGCCGAGCCGGCGTGGCGCCGCTTCCGGCCCCGGCGACGCGGTCGTGCTTGCTGAGCTTTGCGGGACTGGTCATGGCCAGACGCTCCAGCAAGAGATCGTAATTTGTCAGGTCTTCCAACCGGGTCACAATGCGGGGCTCTGCAATGTGAACGTCTCCCTGTTGGGTTCGAAGAATTTCGGTTGTAGTTGCGAGCGAGCCGACGGCAAGGCCAATGTCGGAAATCAGCGAGCGAATGTAAAAGCCCGAAGCGACGCGGGCGGAAATGACAAAGTACGGCGGCGCAAATTCGACGAGCTCCAACGCGTAGCACACGGCCGGGCGCTGTGCGGGAACAAAAGTCTTTGCCAGCTCGCTGAGCGAGCTCAAGCGGTAGTGCTGTGATGCCTCGTCAATCAGTTCGTACTGACGGAAATCGTCCGCTTCCGGTTGCTGCTGCTGCTGCTGCTGCTGCTGCTGCTGCTGCTGCTGCTGCTCGCGTTCCATTTTCCGAGTAAACTCTCCGCGCCAAGCTTGGGCGTGAGACGACAGACGCATACCTTGGAGCTTGACGGCGCTAAACCTTGGAGGGGCTTGGATAATATTGCCGCGGAACTTGCCCAGCGCCTCTCGCAGCATCGCCTCTGTCACGTGCTTGTGGTTGCGCGTCTCCAGAACGATGCCGTGGGTATCTAGTGAATCGGTGACGTAGCCCAGCTCGCCGACCGCCAAGTAGGACTTGTGCACATGGTTGAGGTAATCGTGCAGCACGGGAGTCTGGTTGCCAACAGCAAGCACCATGACACCACTGGCGAACATGTCCAGCGCGCCACCGTGTCCGCACTTTGCGTTGAGCGCTGTGAAGTTTTGAGTGTGAGATGAAGCGAGGGGAGGGGAAAGGAGGGGGCAAGTATTCAAACAACGTGTGTGAGAAACATCAGCAATTCGACACAAAACAACCCAGCCTTGTGCTCGTGCCCATCAACCCGATTTCCCCCTGTCCTCCTTGTTGCGCCGCAACGTCACGTCACGTACTATTCTTGACCATCTCGACGATGGTGGAGGCACGCATTTCCGGCGGCTTTGCGACGCCCAGAATGCCATGCACCGGGTTGGACCCCAGCCGCTGGTGCCGGAAGTTGGTTCGACTTGCGACTCTGCTCTTTGTCTTGAGATCAGCGTTCCAGTGGCCAGACTGGGCTTGGAAGTTCTGAAATCCGACGCGGTCGTCTGCGAATGCATCTGGGCGGCCGTCGATCAGCTTCTGAATCACCGGAATGGTCTTCCACTCGTCCCACAGCGGCGTCTTTGGGTAGATGCGCCACTTGGCAACATTCGGGACCATGACATGGCCAATGGAGCTCGGATTGGCGCCCTCGCGGAACACGAGCGTCTGAGGTTGAGCTTGGGACTGAGCTTGGGACTGAGCTTGAGGCTGCTGGGCGCTTGGCTCCTGTGCTGTGCTTGTCTGAGTGTGATTACTCTGACTGGTGGGCTCTGTCGATGGAGTCGCCTGGGTCGCCTGGGTCGCCTGGGTCGCTTGGGTCGCTGGCGTCGCTTGGACTGCGGCTTGAGCAGCTGCAGAAGCATGGCGGTCTTGGCTGAAGAAGCGCGTGGACGGCCGACTGCTGCTCGTCCGCTGCATGGCTTGGTGCTCTGATGGGTGCTTCAGCGTCATGCAAGTCAGTGGAGCACAGATGGGGATGGCTGCTGCTGCTGCTGCTGCTGCTGCTGCTGGTGCGATGGCGTGGAGCGCTCGGCTGGGTGCATGTCGAAGGGCAGCGCGTGCGGACTGTGCACAACAGCGAGCGTGGAACATGATGACAGAACAACAAGACAAAAAGGACAACTGAGCATGCATGGTTTATTATTTCTAGGTAGGTATAGTATTGCATCGAGTCACAAAGGAGCGATACAGTAGCAAGGACGAGTACAAGAATCTATTGCTATTGAAGTACTGTAGATGGATTGTTTCATTTTTGATGATCAACACCAAGCAGCAAAGGATGCTAGGCACTGCAGCTTGGGGTGTGTCGGATTTTAACTCTGTCGGCAATGGAAGGGGCGGAACAGCATGCAAAACACTGGCCAAAAGCCAATTCATCATCGCCCGGACGGCTTGCCATGCGCACTCGGTGACGCGGCGGGCGCACTCGGTGAAGCAGCGGAAGCCTGAGCAGCAGCTGCTGCTGCAGCCGGAGTGTGTGTGTGCTTGCGCTGGTTGATCACAATGGCGAGCGCCTTCTTGACACTCTCAAACTCGAGCTCGCGCTCGCGCTGCGACGGCGGGCGGAGGGTGATTGACTTGGCAAAGGCCCTGCGAGCTCCAAGGGTGCGCTCTACACGAGTTGACACCAGGGACGGCGTTGGCGGTGCGCGCTGGCTGCCATCTCCAGCGACGGGCACCAGACCGGCATTCGCATCGATCTCGCCTCGGGACGGCCATGCCTTGGCTCCGGGAACGGGCTCGGTTCTCCGCGAACCAGCACCAGCACCAGCACCAGCACCAGCACCAGCAGCAAAGTCACTTGCATCCGTCTCGGCAGGATCCTCAATCGTCGCAGCGAATGCATCGTCCGAGCGTGAAGCAGCAGACTTGCGTCGGTCTTGGCGAGACGGCGAGCTCTGCTGCCACTGCAAACCCTCGTCGCCACCACCAAAGTCATTGCCTGCGTCGCGTGTGCGATGGCGCATCGGCCTGCCATTCCACGCGGACGCGACCGACGGCACCGACGCGGAGGTGCTCAAGCGGCGCACCGCGTGGAGGTCGTCTTGGCGCTGCTGCGGCGTCATTGCGCCCGCTTGTGTGCTGCCATTCAACCCGGAGGTGCCTGCATGGATGAGACGCACAAGCGCAAGTTGCTGTTGCGGAAGAATCGCAGCTGCACTTCGAACGAGCCGCAAAGAAGCCAAAAGCGTCATTCTTGTCTGAGATGAGTTTTGAAAGTCTACTGTAAACAAACAGAATGAAACAACGAAACTCAGACTGAGCAATGAAATGTGACAGACACAAGACGTGTGTATTGAGATTGAGAGTGACTTGAAGCTTGAATACATGTATCTGGTTTACTGTATGCTGCTGCTGCTGACCTTTGCCTCAGTCTACTAAAGCTTTGAAGGGTGGAGGTCGCACATTGTCTCAGACGAGAGATGCAGGTCAGCAGTTTTGAGAACCATCTCGCCGTCCTCAACTCTTCTTAAAATCAATCTCACGCTAACGCAATAATGACAGACGCAGGGACTGCCGGTCGTTGTCGCTGGTGCGAACGTCGTGGTCATCCAGCCGGGCAGTCTGTACCTGAGGATGGGCGTCGCGTCGCAGCCATTTCCATCGACGCGCCTGAACGTGCTCGCAGTCCGCCGTCCAGACGGGGCTGCTGCTTCCACTACTCATCATCATCATCATGCTGCAGCTGCTGCTGCTTCTGAGGGAGCTGAAGCGCAGAACAAGCCAGCGATGGCGGATGCTGCTGCTCCTGCGCCGATCGCTCAACCCGGCGATGCCAACTCAGACCAGCATGCACCAGCCGCAGAGCCACTCGCAGATCAGGATGCAGGGACAGACGTAAGGCTCATCCTGATGCAAACGGGGCAACCCCCTCGACTCACGGTCTGAAACAATAACCGGACTGATTCTTCAATGCTCAGACTTTTCAGCCAATGAAGGTGGACGACAGCGAAAACGAGCAGGCCAAGACAGACCCGAGCGCGTCAGAAACTGCTGTACTCTCGCCTCGAGAGCAAATCTTCCAAGCGATGGAGAAGCACACAAGACGAAAAGCCATGGAATTCAAGAAGGTGGAAGGTCTTTTCAACCAGGTGAGTGAGTGCACAGTCGTCTCTCAAATATCGGTCGTACTGTGTATCTCACTTGCATTGAAAACCCTTGTGTTGTTGATTGCGATGCATCGTTGCCATCCCCCAGTGTCTATCATTCAACGACGGAGCAATACCAGATCGGATTTCGCAGCACGACGATCAGCACCATCGTGAGTTTACCAATGTTCGGTCTGCGCCTCCGTTTGTATTTGGCGATCAGGTAAGTTGGGAAGCACAGACGAGCGTGACTGGGATACAACGCAGAGGCACGGTGATTGTGATGGCGTCTAATCTGCTTGCGCTGATTCTGGCTCCGATACCAGGCTCTGGGCATCAATCCTGCAGAGCCATACGATGTGGTATGGCCATTTGCAAGAGGCCAGCCATGTCGAGATACAATTGTGACAGTTGGAAGCGAGCCAGACACTCCCGACAGCCTTCCCATGTATCGAGGGACTCTTTGCGCTGGAGTCGAATCCATCGTGACGTGCATCGCCGCAATATGGCGTTCCATGTTAGAACAGGACTTGCGAATCCCTGCTTTGCAGTTCTCGGTGAGCTTGGCAGAAGCCGGAGTTTGGTGGCGCTTGCTGAAACGACCGCTTACTTTCTTGTCCCTCTCTTCCAAGCAGAATTATAAAGCCGTTATTATCGTCCCTGATTTTGTCGATCGAGGAATGATCAAGCTCTTGATGAGAGTGGCCCTGGAGGAGCTACAGTTCCACGCAGTCATGCTCCAGCAGGATTCCTCCGCCGCAACATTCGCCGCCGGCATTTCGTCAGCGTGCGTGATTGATATCGGAGATCAAAAGATCTCTGTTAGTTGTGTGGAAGATGGCATCGTCTTGGGAAACACGCGGTAAAGCTCAACAACAATTTCTGTGTTGATCGAGTCTCGCTTGTCCGCTCTGCTTTCTCACTTTGGATGTTGTTTGTTTTTGTTATTGTTGCTGTCACATGATGCTTGTGGCTGGATCCGGCTGTTACTTGAGCAGCGTGCTGCTGAACTACGGTGGCTACGAAGTCTCGGAAGCGTATGGCTGGTTGCTTCAACGCCTAGGTTGCGCTTTTGTCGGAAAACTAGACCTTCGACAGCCGCACAACTGGCACCAACTGCGGGAATGGAAGGAAGCGCATTGTCATCTAGTTCCTGTACGTTGCCTGTTGTCGTTGTTGGTTGCGTGGGTTGCCCTTTCTAATCGATTCTGCTCTCCAACAGCAAGAAGATACGTTCCCTCCTTCGTATATTCAAACTCTCAATTGCCATATTCGCTCGTTTGGCAAGCCAACATTGTCGTACAAGTGCCGCGTGTCGGATGAGCCCATCAAGGCACCGATGGTACGACTTGCTGCTTGGATCGCATTTTAGGTGCGTTTGCTGACTCGATTGGTGATAACAGGGTGTCTTCTTCCCAACGGCATTTTCCATGGCGCACTCTCCCTTGATGCGGCTCATCGAGAACGTAACGGAGGATTGCGAGGATGTCTTTGACACCACACGCGAGGTCAGCCGTCGTCTTGTTTGTTGCGATAGTGACGATGAACGAACATCATTTGTCTTGCTGATCTTGGCGTTCAATTGCTTTGTTTGTTTTTTGCTTTGGTATTGCTGCGAAGCAGATCACTCAAGAGCATGACACCATGCTGGTGCAAGTTGCGCTCCAAGCCACCGAATGTGGCGAATTTGCGCAAATTCGCTCTGCATCTTCGCCAGTCATGTCCCTCGATGAAGCTGTATTATGCAGCATTGACCGTTGCCGTACGTATTGTTTGGTGATGGGGATACTGAGGCGTAAGCGGTCCAGATTCCTGCCCAAAAAAAAAAAAAAAAAAAAAAAAGCCGTTTTTGCTCACACGCTCTGCTGCGCTTTGTCCAGCTTCTGATGACATGCGGCGGCGCATGTTGCAAAGTATTCTACTCGTCGGAGGGGGAGCCAAAACAGCAGGACTAGAAGCGATGATTGAAGCAAGGTTTGTCGGACTCGTATTCTGCTGTGACTGGTTCTTGTCACTGATTCGTTTCCCTTGTGGTGCAACCGATATTTTATCATGGATGACACCAGAATTGCCTGCGAGTTGGCAAGACAAAACCGCAGCGCGCAACCGGTCGTGCTGAGCAATGTCAGGAATCTCGACTCCCAGCACATTTGTTGGAAAGGCGCAACCGTCACGGCGCGACTCCCAGGATCCGACGACATGTTCATTCTTCAGCACGAATGGCGCAAACGCAAGCTGCAAGCGGTCAAAGCCAAGACCATTTTCGCGTGGAATTGACCGATCTGTGTTGTGCGCGGCTTTGCAATAAATTAACCGGCTGTCGCTCAATTCGAGACTTGCACCAACCTCTCACTCTCTCTCACTCTCGTCTCTTCGATACTGCAAATAGAGAAAGACGCGACCCCCCCCCCCCTAATGAAAGAACATCATCTGGCGGGAGAAATAAACGAAGGACTAGGTTTTTGTACTCGTGACACTACACACCATACAAAATGCTCATCAAATCAAGATTCAATGGTTGTTGCGAGAGCAGCGAGAAAAGCACAATTAAGAGCGGGAACTTGTGGAGTGTAATAAAAGGGGCTTTACGAATCCTGGAGTTCGCGCAGGCGGCGGATGGTGCTGCGGACGGTGGCAGCGGCCATGGTGCTGACGGTCCAGGCACCACCGGCAACAGTGCGGGAGCAGCCACGGCAGTTCCAGATGCCAACGGCAGTGCGTCGGACGCTGTCCTTGCCGCAGAACATGCAAGTGTACTTGGCGTGTTGCGAGATTTCCATCTTCTTGACGAGCTTACGGAGCGAAGCACCATAGCGGGTGCCGTACTTGCCGGAAACGCCGACCTTCTTGGTGCGCTTAGCCTATTTTGGAGGATGGAGGATGGTAGAAGAAGTGAGCAAAGCAGGCGGAGAGCAAGGGGTGGAGAGAGGGTGGGGCGAAGAGAAAAAAAAAAAGTTTAGAGCACCGTTCTCCAACTGTTGCTGCCTTGTCGAGCGAACGGTCGGGCTTTGGCGAGTGCTGTGGTGGTGGCAGAGTCACGGGGATTCGTGACAGAGCGCGAGCGCTTTGCTGCCGAAGCGGGATTGAGCAAGAAATGGAGCGGGACGAAGAGAAAAAAAAAAAGTTCTCCTTCTGTCGCAGCCCTTTTTCAACGACAAAACGCCGTCGCCCTCGTGCAGGCCTGGACCTGAAGAGATGCATGCCGAATCCTACAAGGCTGGAGGCTGGACGATGCGGTGGCGATGCAGCGCGAGGCAATGCTGGCCAGAGCCGAAAATCAAAAAAACGGACCAGACGAAAAACCCAAACTTTTTCCACCACCCAACCTTCCGGCCTCGCTCGTTCGCATCGCCGCATTGCACCCATCACCTGCAACCATTGAATCGTGTGTGTAACATCCCCATGTATCGGATTCAGCGCAGAGCGGGGCGATTCGTGTGACCGATGTGTACCATTTGATGAACAAGAGAGAGCGAGCGTTGAAACCGGTCAAATCGGGGTTTTCACAATTGCAAAAACAAAAAAAAAAAATTGTAATTCGAATTCAAAGCTTTTATGTTTCTTTCGTTGTGCTGCAAACGTTGAGGTTGTGTAGCCGCCCGCTCAATGCATCATTCATAGTATGATATTTAATGTCATTGGATGAGCGGCTTTTGCTGGGGGTTCAGTCTCCAAATCGCTCCATCAACAACCGGTAAGCCAATTGCTCCACAGTGACTCTTTGATTGTTGTGGATATCACAGCTCAATGACCAGGTCTATCATTGAGAGGGTGAGATGGACCTGGGAGTGGGGAAGCGGATCGTTGAAGTTCGGCTCTATGAGAACAATTCTGAGCATTTTGGTGCTTGTGTCATCGCTTGCTCCCATGTGGAACAAAGGGCGAGTCAAACCCTGGGCGGATCGATCGCCGCTGGCTGTGTCGAGCTGTGCTTGCGCAAGCTGTTGCACAGGCTGCTCGATGAGTTGAGTTGGTGCTCGAGGCTCATGCAACATTTTGTGTTGCGCAGCTGCGAGCGAGCGAGCGGCCATTGGTTCAACTCAGTGCGCGCTCACTCACCTTCACCGGCTCCTTGCAGTTTGGACTGAAATCACACAACTAGCTTACAATCGATGGCCAAGACAAGCGCACACAGCCCAGCCGCACAGGGCAAGCGACCACAGCAGCCGCATGGCACCAACAAGGGCGCACGTGTGGCACGCGGGCCGGCCAGCCAGACCCAGACGCAGTCCCCGCGCGGACGAGCAGCAGGTCGTAATGCATCGCCACGAGGGCAGAAAGGTCGCGCCGACGACGACGAGGAGGACGAGGACGAGGACGAGGACGATGACGACAAACCCAACGAAGACGAAGACGACGACGACGACAATGAAAAGCCACCAGAAGCAGACCCAGAGCAGATGCGTCGCATCAACGCGCTGCTGAGCCAGATGGACAGTCGCTCGGGAGACGCAGCGGGCAAGAAGCCAAAGAACCAGCAGGCCAACCCGCCAGCCAAGGGCAAGGGCACGCGCAAGCAACGAATGCAGGAGGAGACGCGCGAGATTGCCGAGCTGACGGCACGCTGCAACGCACTGCCTCGCTCCACGGACATCATTGGTGCTCGATCGGCCGCTGCACCAACGACGAATCAAGAAGCGAGTGATGAGACGCCCAAGAAGGCCGATGCTACAGCCACAACCACCACTCCATCCACTTTCACACGCTTTGCAGAGCTGCCCTTGTCGTCGCGCACGCAGGCCGCACTCCGCGACTGCGCATATGTCAAACTGACCGAAATCCAGCGAGTGTCGCTGCCCGACGGCTTGGCAGGTCGCGACGTGCTCGGTGCCGCCAAAACCGGCTCGGGCAAGACGCTCGCCTTCCTGTTGCCTGTGGTCGAGCGCCTCTACCGCCTGCGGTGGTCCTCGGAGGACGGCATTGGCGCCATTGTGATTACGCCCACCCGCGAGCTTGCCTTCCAGATCTTTGAGGTGCTGCGCAAGATTGGTGCGCGCCACGAGTTGGCCGCAGGCTTGGTCATTGGTGGCAAGGATGTAGAGCAGGAGAAGGAGCGCATCAACGGCATGAACATTCTCGTGTGCACGCCCGGACGCTTGCTGCAACACATGGACGAGACGCCAAACTTTGACTGCTCCAACCTGCAGATGCTCGTTTTGGACGAGGCCGATCGCATCCTCGACATGGGCTTTGCTCGCACGCTGGATGCCATTCTGGACTTTCTGCCCCGGTCGCGCCAAACCCTCTTGTTCTCGGCCACCCAAACCAAGTCCGTGCGCGATCTGGCGCGCCTGAGTCTCACCTCGCCCGAGTACGCCGCCGTGCACGAGCACGCCAAACACAGCACCCCGAAGGGTCTGTCGCAGTCCTACGTCGTGACGGCCCTTCCCGACAAGCTGGACATTTTGTACTCGTTCATTCGCACCCACACCAGCTCAAAAACGCTCGTCTTCCTGTCCAGCTGCAAGCAGGTGCGATTTGTGCTCGAGACATTCCGACGACTGCGCCCAGGCGTGCCGCTGATGGCACTGTATGGCAAGCAAAAGCAAATGAAGCGCATGGCCATTTACAGCGACTTTGCGAAGAAGCCTTCCGCCGTGCTCTTTGCCACCGATATTGCCGCTCGTGGTCTCGACTTCCCCGCCGTCCACTGGGTCATCCAGGTCGATTGCCCGGAAGACGCCAGCACGTATATTCACCGCGTCGGGCGCACTGCCCGTGCCGACAAGAGCGGCAACGCACTCCTGATGGTTCTCCCGTCCGAAGAGAAAGGCATGGTTGCCACCCTTGCCGAGAAGCGCATCCCCATCGAAAAGCGTGAAATCAACCCCGATCGCAGCTCCAGCATCCGTCCCAGCCTTGCAGCCTTCTGTACACAAGAGCCCGAGCTCAAGTACCTGGCTCAAAAGGTGAGGTTTTGCTGGAGGTTGCGGTTTTTTTTTTTTGTTGTTGTTGTTGTTGTTGTGTTTTTGTTGTTGTTTTTTTTTTGCGTTGTTGTCCGTGAAAGCGACTCACCTCATTGCTCCATTTGGCTTCCTTCTGATTTTGTATTCTACTAGTATTTCGTCTCGTACATGCGCTCGGTCTTTTTGCAACCCAACAAGCAAGTTTTCGATGTGCACGCACTCCCTGCGGAAGAGTTTGCGCTGTCCCTCGGTCTGCCTGGTCAGCCGAACATTCGCTACTTGAAGAAGGTCAAAAAGGTCCATGGACCTGCGGCAAGCGCTGCTGCAGCCGCTGAAGATGGCTCGGAGGACGATGGCAGTGACGACGACGACGCAAGCGATGACGACTCTGACAGTGACAATGAAGACAAGAGCTGGGGCGCTGAAAGTGCTCCCAAAGAGAAGGTATGGCGCTTTTGCATCCACCATTGGCGAGCAGGGCTGGCCTTTGGACTGACTCGTTTGCGATTCTTGTTCTTCAGGCAAAATCCAAGATCGACCGCATTCGCCTTCGCCAAAACCAAGGAGTCTTGTCAACTGCATGGCAAAAGCTGCGTGAGCAGGACGAAGAGACGGGCGAGGATGACCTGCTGGTGCTCAAACGCCGCAACCACGGCGTCGATGGTGTGGACGACGATGACGATGCCCCTGAGGAAGCAAAGATCAATCGTGACGGCACTGCCATGGACACGGCCGAAGAGGCATCCTCGAGCAAGAAGAAGGTACGGAGCAGCGCATGCATGTGGTTTTTGTGGTTTTTGTGAAAAATTGCGGTTGCTGACTCGCTAGTCTTGTATTTTTGCTCCGTAGACCCTTACTCGCGCAAAGGTGGCCAAGAAGCTCATCAACGCTAATATCAAGGCGAATACGAAAGTCGTATTTGATGATGACGGCTTGGTGAGTGTGTCGGACCCTGAAAAATCGTTTGCTTTTTTGTTTGTTTTTTGACGGTTTGTCCTCACCTTTAATTTCCTTTCCACGGCAAATAGGCACTTGACGAGTCGGGCAAGGTCGTGGAGGACGGCATTGTGAGCATCCCAGATCCGGAAGTAATCGAGGAGCCGCGACCCAACGTGCCCGTCACGATCGAAGAATCCAAGGCACGCATGAAGGAGGCGGATCGTCTCGATCGCTTGGCCGAGCGCCGTCGTGTGCAAGAGAAGCACAAGGAGAAGTCTCGCAAGGCCCGTGAGAAGCGACAGGCTGAAGCTGCGGGCTATGTAAGTTTTGTGGGGAATGGGGTTTTTGAGTGTGTATGGTTTTAGTTTGCAATCACTCACTCCGCTATTTCCTTCCTGTCAGCTCGAAATGAAGTTTGGTGCTCAAGGTAACGACCAAGAAGAAGAGGATGATGAGGATGACGACGATCAAGACGACGAGAACGAAGATGACGACGATCAAGACGAGCCAGAGCCTGTGCGCAACCATGGCCGCGGCTCAAAGCGTGGACATGAAGACTCGGACGGAGCCTCTGCCAAGCAAGCGAGCAAGCGAGCGCGGTCTCTTGTCGATGATGAGGAGCTGGCATTGGCGCTGCTGCAAGGCTAATTTTCGGGCATTCAGTCGTTTGGGATTGCTTCAAAAAAAAAAAAGACAATGCTGTCGTCTTTTCGCTTGTTCCTATGTTGTTGTACCATACCATACCATCCCTATCAAATCAGTTTTGGGTTGCTTCAGTCAACTTTCTAAGCAAACAATCATAAAACAATGGCACAAGACGAAGCGCCCTCTGAATACCCTCCCACCCCTCGCGTCAACAACAGCATGCTGGCTGCCAACGTCGATCGGTTCGTCCGCCTTGTCGGCACTGTGATGAAGGTACCGTTCAACCGCTCAACAGAGGCCGCACAGCCCAAAACACACACACAAAAAAAAAAAAGTGAAAAAAAGTGAAAAAAAAAAAAGCGCGGGAAGCACAAAACTCAATGCATGCAACCAACACGCGCAATGAAGCGTTCATGCTTTGTCTCGTGAGAAGCGCCGTCTCGCTCGAGGGGAGAGTAGACAGTCGGTGCTTGTCATCCACTTTGCGGGCATTTGGCGGCTGTGCAGACGGGTGCAGCGAAAGAACTGGCTGTGGAAAGTTGGGGAAACTGGTTTTCCCGCCAAAACAACCAAAACCTGCGACTCACTCCCCAGTCCACCCCTCGACTCTGCAGATCAACCAATCCACTGTGACGATCAGGACCAGCGACAAGGGCGAGACCATTGTGCACACCAACTCGAACGCCGTCTACGCCGAGGGCGACGTGATTGAGTACATTGGCAGCGTCCAGCCAGACCTGTCGCTCGTCGCAGAGACGTTTGCGCCCTTCCCCAAGTCCTTCAGTAAGTTTGTTGTCGTGTTTTGTGCAACTTGATTTGTGGATGGATGATTGATGTTTGACTGGCAATCATTGCGTTTTGGCCGTTTTTCTCATTTTCTGTGCGTTTCGACTTGTCTTCAACCTTCGTGTGGCATCAGACATGGACAATTACAACACAATGATCGAATTGGCACGAAAGCAGTACCATCTGTTTTCGGCAGTGCCATACTAGGAAGGCATTTGTATTTTTGGGCGATTGATGCGTGAATTTTGTTAGCTTTGCTGTTGTTGTTGTTGTTTAGGGGGGGAAAAGTGCAGCTCGTGTTGTCTGTTTCTGTATTGGAATCAAAAGCATGAACTTTTGCTGTATTGGAAAAGAAAACATGGTGTGCTCCATGTGTTATTTCAATCTGAAGTGGATGGCTTGAGAATCGAGGCAGCGGCAGCTTCGGGCTCTGCTGGACCACCTTCTCCCTCCTCTTCTTCTTCACTATCGTCCTCGTCGTCATCGTCGTCATCCTCGTTGGTGGCACGTTCACCGCCAGTCTTTTGACCACCTTCTTGCCGTGCTTTCTTGTTGCGGAGCTGTTGCAGCTGCTTTTTTCGTTGGCGCTTGGATCGCTTCTTGGCCAACGCCGCGGCCTCTTCCTCTTTGAACTGCTGTGCTCGTGCGTGGAATTCGTAGTCGGCACGTTCCTACGATTGCGTTGTCTCCCGAGTGAGATACAGAGATGTCAATCGCAGCAACTCAGCAAGCTTTTCCTTACAGCCTCGCTCATCTCGTCCAGTGCTCGCAAGCGTGCCTCCTCCCTCCGCTTTGCATTGCGGTATACGTGAAACTCGCCACTGCCAGCGCCAGCGGTCGAACCTGATGAGACGTTATGAGAAAAGATTGTGAGAAAGAGTGTAAGAAAACAGTCTGAGCCAAAAAAAAAAAAAAAAAAAAAAAGCATTGTCCTGCGGCCTGCTCACCAGCGACATGGTGGATCAAGTCCTTGGGGCCTCGAGGCGCGCGATGCTTGCTTGGCGCAGCAGGGAGCACAATCTCGCGCTCTGGATGCTTCATCAGCGCGTCGAGCTGCCGTCGTTGCGCATCGGCCGCCGTCGCCGGTCCAACGTGTCCGCCACCCGTCGCCGCCGCCGGTCGTCGAGCGTTGTCTGCTGCGCCTGATGCATTGTTCCTTGGTTCTCCTCGGCCTCGGCCACGGTCTGATGCTCCTGACGCTCCGGACGCTGCTGGGGCTGGATCTTTCGGCGCATCAAACCGGCCAGCAGGCAGCTCAAACTGCTGCGCGTTCATTTGCTGCTTGAGGTCAAACAAAAAAGGACTATTCAATGCAATGATGATGATGATGATGTTGCTGTGGATGTGGCAGCAAACACGATGATGGATCGATGGATGGATGACGTGCACTTTGGGCTGAATTGGATCATCTCGAAACAGTAGAAAAAGGCGACCGTCTCGATTTGTGCTGACGACAGTTCATTCGTGTTTTTTTATTATTTTTTTTATTTTTACGTGTCTCTTCCCTTCTTTGTTTCAAGGTTTGTTCTCTCTCTCTTCTGCGTGCATTACATTGAGGCCTTGCTTCTCCTCTTGCTCTTGTTGCTCTCTTTGGTCCTTGGTTGTTGCTCTTTGGTCTTGGCACTGTTCAACTTGAAATGCTCACAGTTCGTTCGCTTTTTTTTTTTTTTTTTTTTTTTTGGTTTTGGTTTCCGTTCCAGGACATTGCTCCCCCCGTCATCCACATTGCTCGAGCTTCTTTCGTTTGACTAGCAACTTCATCATCAAACCATGGCCAAGCCCGTAGACAACAGCAACGAGTACGTTTCCGTTTTGCCCTTGCATTGTTAAGCCGCCTCGTCATCTTTTTTTTTTTTTCCTTTTTTTTTTTTTCTTTTTGGTGCTCTTGGCTCTTTGCGCGCCATCGCACAACACTCGCGCTTGTGTCCGGGGTGCAACCCTTGCCCCGCGTTGCTCCATGCTCTGCATGAAGCCGCCTGTGCATCTACTGCGATGAGTGATGCGCGCAGACGCCTCTCCTTTTGCGCAACGACTTTGCAACACAACTTCTGTGATGACGGAAGCCGAAAGAAACACACAAAAAAAAAAAAAAAAATTATTCCAGAACTCTGTTTTTTTCGCGATCGCTGGCTTTTTTTTTTTTTTTTTTTCCGCGTTGGCAAATCCAGCTTCTCGCTCTCCTTGCGTTTGTGGTGGTTGCAAAAGACCGTCGTGTGCACGCACCAGCAGCTGCGAGTGGAACGTGCAGAAACGCAGTGTGCTGTTCGTGTCGTTTTGACGGCGAATTTTTTGCACTCTTTCTGGAAACTGTGAAGAACTCTTTTTTTTTTTTCTTCCTCTTCTTCTTCTTGAGCTTCTCGATTCCCGATTGTTGAATGGTGATCACGAACGACATTCATTCTCCTTTGCTGCGATTCTTTTGTCTTCTTTGTTGTTGTTTCTATTTCGACTTGGTGGAACACCATTTTGCTTTCCGTTCAACTGAAATTGCTCAATCACCTCCACTTTTTTTTTTCTTTTTTTTTTTTTTTTTTTCGCCCTCTTCTCCCTCTTTTCTTCCAGCGAAATCGCCACCGCCATCCTCAAAAAGAAGTCGGCGCCCTTCCGCTTGATTGTGGACGAGGCGCTGAACGACGACAACTCTGTCGTGTCGCTCAGCCAGGCCAAGATGGACGAGCTGCAGCTCTTCCGCGGCGACACGGTCATGGTCAAGGGCAAGAAGCGCCGCGACACGATCTGCATTGTGCTGTCGGACGACGAGTGCCCGAACGAGAAGATCCGCATGAACAAGGTTGTGCGCACCAACCTGCGCGTGCGCCTCGGCGACATTGTCAGCGTGCACGCGTGCCCCGACGTCAAGTACGGCAGCCGCATCCACGTCCTCCCCGTCGACGACACGATCGAGGGCCTGACTGGCAACCTGTTTGAGGTCTACCTCAAGCCGTACTTCCTCGAGGCCTACCGACCCGTCCGCAAGGGCGATCTCTTCCAGGTCCGCGGCGGCATGCGCGCTGTCGAATTCAAGGTGGTCGAGACCGACCCCGCGCCGTACTGCATTGTCGCGCCCGAGACTGTCATCCACTGCGAGGGCGACCCGATCAAGCGCGAGGAGGAGGAGGAGACGCTCAACTCTGTCGGCTACGACGACATTGGCGGCGCCCGCAAGCAGCTCGCCCAGATCAAGGAGATGGTCGAGCTTCCCCTGCGCCACCCCCAGCTCTTCCAGTCGATTGGTGTCAAGCCGCCACGAGGCATTCTGCTGTACGGCCCTCCCGGCACGGGCAAGACGCTCATTGCGCGCGCTGTCGCCAACGAGACGGGCGCCTTCTTCTTTTTGATCAACGGCCCCGAAATCATGTCCAAGCTGGCCGGCGAGTCGGAGAGCAACCTCCGCAAGGCCTTTGAGGAGGCCGAGAAGAACGCCCCCTCGATCATTTTCATTGACGAGCTCGACTCGATTGCGCCCAAGCGCGAGAAGACGAACGGCGAGGTGGAGCGCCGCATTGTTTCGCAGCTCCTCACGCTCATGGACGGCCTCAAGAGCCGATCCAACGTGGTCGTCATGGCTGCCACCAACCGCCCCAACTCGCTCGACCCCGCCCTCCGTCGCTTTGGCCGCTTTGACCGCGAGGTGGACATTGGCATTCCCGACGCGACTGGCCGTCTCGAGGTCTTGCGCATCCACACCAAGAACATGAAGCTGGGCGCGGACGTCGACCTCGAGCAGATTGCCAACGAGACGCACGGCTATGTCGGCTCGGACGTTGCTGCGCTCTGCTCGGAGGCTGCCCTCCAGCAAATCCGCGAAAAGATGGACTTGATTGATCTCGACGCCGAGACGATTGATGCCGAGGTCCTCGACTCGCTGGCCGTGTCGCAAGACAACTTCCGCTTTGCGCTTGGCGCCAGCAACCCCAGCGCACTGCGCGAGGCTGTGGTCGAGGTGCCCAACGTCACCTGGGCCGACGTCGGTGGTCTCGAGAACGTCAAGCGCGAGCTGCAAGAGCTCGTCCAGTACCCTGTGGAGCACCCCGAAAAGTTCCTCAAGTTTGGCATGAGCCCGTCCAAGGGCGTCCTCTTTTACGGCCCGCCCGGCTGCGGCAAGACGCTGCTGGCCAAGGCCATTGCCAACGAGTGCCAGGCCAACTTTATCTCGATCAAGGGCCCCGAGCTCCTCACCATGTGGTTTGGTGAGTCCGAGTCGAACGTGCGCGATGTTTTCGACAAGGCGCGCTCAGCCGCGCCCTGCGTCCTGTTCTTTGACGAGCTCGACTCGATTGCCAAGTCCCGCGGCGGCTCGAGCGGCGACGCTGGCGGCGCTTCTGACCGTGTCATCAACCAAATCCTCACCGAGATGGACGGCATGAACGTCAAGAAGAATGTCTTTATCATTGGCGCCACCAACCGCCCCGACATTATCGACTCTGCTGTGCTCCGCCCCGGCCGTCTCGACCAGCTCATTTACATTCCTCTGCCCGACGAGCCATCGCGCCTGGCCATCCTCAAGGCTGCCCTGCGCAAGTCCCCCATCGCCCCCGACGTGGACATTGACTACCTCGCCCGCTCGACCAACGGCTTCTCTGGTGCCGATCTCACCGAGATTTGCCAGCGCGCCTGCAAGCTTGCCATCCGCGAGTCGATCGACAAGGAGCTTGCCCGCGAGCGCGAGCGCAAGGCCCAGCGCGAGGCCAACCCGGACGCCATGATCACGGACGATGCCGACGAGGACCCCGTCCCCGAGATTCGTCGCGACCACTTTGAGGCCGCCATGAAGTTTGCCCGCCGCTCTGTCAGCGAGACGGACGTCCGCAAGTACGAAATGTTCTCGCAGACCCTCCAACAGTCCCGCGGCTTTGGCAACAACTTCCGATTCCCCGGCGCTGCCCCCGGCCAAGCTCCCCCTGCTGCTGGCGGTGCTCCCGCACAAGGCGGCAACTTCCAGGACAACAATGCCGACGACGATTTGTACGCTTGAAGGAAGCAGAGGTGAAAAAGAACCAACAAAAAAAAAAAGTAACCTTGTGTGTGTTTGTGATGTATTTCCACCTTTTTTTTTTTTTTTTTTTTTTGTTTTTCTGTGTGTTTAACCATTGAATTTTGTTGTTGCCGTTGTTGTTGTTGTTGTTGTTGTCTCTTGCTAAATACACGTGAATGAAATGATGCATGCGTTTACGATGCTCGAATCGCCCTTTGTTGATCGTAGTTACGAACTCGGCTCATCCCTAGTCGGGCTTCCCCCTCATTCTTCACTACATTCTTAGTAAACGATACTTCCGCATACATTTCGTACGCTTCAGTAGTGATTCTAGGCTGCTTTCGGAAGGAACTGGCGCCGTAGGCCCTCCAGCCAGTGAAAAAGTCTGGATGCTGTGCGCTGTAGCAACCCCAGCGCTGGAAGATGTACCAGTTGTCGTCATGCTCACCACCGCGCCGAACAAACGCGTTCTCAGGGTGATCGCCGAACAGGTTACATTCGACCGCGCGGTCCACATGGGCTGCATTGGTCAAGTAGACGCCGGCCTTGCATGAGGGACGCTCCATGCACGCTTGCTTACACTGGGCGAAAGAGACGCCCTTGACCTGATAGATGCCAGCCGGTCCGTTGTCGCTCGCACGGTTTGCAGATTGGATGACCTCGGACCACGACTCGTGCTGGACTGGTGCACAAGTCGTGTGTGGATTCTTGCACATTGTACAAGCTTCTCCATTAAAGTAGCGGCTTGAATCACCACACGACGAGCAGACAACGCCATCAGGAAGGTTGACAATGTCCATGTGCGTGTCTGCCACGTCCTCGTTCGACGCTGGCACCTGACGAGCAATCAGCCTGCCTTGCTTGGGGTCCTCTGCCATGACCATGTGATTGCTTGCCGAGATGACTTGAGAGAGGGTGACATAGTCGCCAAAGTGCACTCCCACCTCGTCCGCCTTGGCCGGGACTTCGCAGTCAGCACCAGGTGTGTTTGCGCACACTTGCAGGTAAAAACGGGTCAAAAGGTCGAGCTTCAAGCCGACAAGCTCCTGGTTGGTGCCATTGGACAAACGCGAGACAGCCAGCACCTGCAGCACGGGCACCAACTTGTACTTGATCGGAACTGGATTCTTCGACACCGTCGTGCTCCACTCCTTGTCACCGTCCATGTTTGTGGGGTCTTCCGGATCATTTGTGCCTGCGGTTGGGTCACCACCCATGAACGTCTCGCGGCGGGACTCGGTGCGATCCTTGACGGCTTGCTTAAGGGAGCTTTGCTTGTTGATGCTCAAGGACGTGTCGATGGAGCTCGACTCGATTCCAGAAGACGAAAGCGACAATGATGACTTGAACGCATCCGACTGTTCCACGCTCGACTCAAACTCGGTTTGTGCCATGGTGTACACTCGAATGGACTTCCCGCCCATGTGGACGCCGATGAGGGTGTGGGTCCCCACCTTGTCCAAAAACCGAAGGTAAAGGTCGCCACAGTTTGCATGGATTGCGGTGCACGCCGAACGATCCTTGCTCACTCCAGCGTGCGAGGGAAGCACAAGACCATCACAGCACGCGGGCGGCGGGAGCGCGTTGAACATCTCAATGACATGGTCGGCGAGCGGAGGCGTGTCATCCAGGAACTCTGCCACATATGTCAAGACGGTGCCAATGGTGGTGATTGAAACAGATTCGGACGACTGATGCATCTCTGAGGCCTGCTTGTAGTCGTTCGACGCCGAAAACTTGGCACCTCCACCTTCAACGAGAGCACTGAACGAGAAGGAGGTTTCGATGGACACGTCCACTTCCAAGCTTTCTGCGTACTCCGACGAGGTCGTTACGAGGTGGGAACGACTGTCAAACTGCGCGGAAGCGTACGGAATGACGGCGACGCGGTCAGGAAGCATCGTGCTGCCATCAGCGGTCATGCGACGCATCGAGTAATCCACCTTGAGGACAGGCAAGGTGAACCCGGGATCGACACCGGACGACGGAAGAGGGTTGCCCTTGAAGATGTGGTATCCGAATCCGAGCATGCCAATGTTCTTGTACGACGTCACGCCACTCCCAGGCATGTTGATTGTCGCTCGTGCAGATGCCATACGAGCGTCCAGCTCCAGCTGCTCGAGAGCAACCGTTTTGGTCGGCAGATCGGACTCTTGGCGAGTGTGGGACGCAGACAGCTCGTTTTGCAGATCGACCACCTCGAGTTCGACGGACAGCTTGGCCAAGTCCATGCTTGTGCGTGAGTCGACAACTTGGCTCTCGAAACGCGCTGACAGCGTGTCGCGAGCAATTTGCGCAACAAGCAACTCGGCGGAGAGGTGCGGCTCGCCTAGTTGGATCAAGGATTCAACACGCGAGATTGTGCTGTTGAGTTCGAGGATGCGGGTCTTGGCGAGAATTGGCCAAACGGCAGCAGATGGATCGAGGCCTGTGTTGACATTGCCGTTCGAGCAGCCATCACGCGAGTAGCACGACTCGAGGGCACTCGGAGGATCAGAAAGACGTGCACATTCGGATGGAGTTGCAGTGGGCCAGAAATGCGGCGGATGGGATGGATCGCGGCGAGTACAGGTGATGTTACGAGTGCGAGTGCCAGCGCCGCACGCAGGTTCACAGGATGACCACGTCGACACTTCCCACTTGAGCTCACATCCAGAAGTGCAGTTGCAGCTCGGGCAGGTTGTGGAGTTTGGCATCTGCAGACCGTGCATCTCACAGAGAGACGCCGAAACTGGAACTTCCGAGCCGCTACTGCCAGTGTTGTGCAAGCATTGAAGCGTCGATTGCCGCGCCTCGGAAAACTGGCACGAGGTTTCAGTGCAAAGACAATTGCCACAGAGCTGTCGATACTCGTAGTCACAATCGAAAGCATCGCATGCAACTGTTGCGGGCGGGCGAGTGCTGGACCGACAGAACGAATCGTCCACGACAATGTATTGAGGCTGTCCGTTGTCGCTGTGGGTGCGCTCATAGCATTGAATGGTTGCATGTTGAACACCTGCGCCGCATCGCGCAGAACAGTCGCTCAACGAAGTGTTACGCCAAAGGAAGCGTCGCAGGTTGAACGACAGAGTGAACTCGTCACGGTCGAAACTCGCTTTACCGACTTGGTCCAGGTCGAGGCGGAGAGCTAGTCCGTTGTTGGCAAGATCACCATTCAGCCACGAAGCCACCAAATCATCGAGTGCGGACTCAAAGGATGCATCCATGACAACCCGCTGCTGGTTGTCGCTGTTGGTGATGTCGAGCTGTGCGATGGCGGCTGAATTGAGCTGCGGCAGTGAGCTCGTACTAGCTGGGTGCCAGTCAGAAAGCACCGAGTACACCAGGTAATTCTGTGGACTGGAGGCCAAAACGGAAGCGCCCAGTGATGCATTCGAGACGTGGACCACCTCGCCAGCCAAGCGAATGTCGTTGGCAAGATATGCCAGATCAAACGACACAAGAGGGAGACAATCGCGCTCAAAGCCGCCAATGACACGGACGCGATCAAGTGCGAGCTGCACAGCACGATCAGAGACGCCCTGAATCTCCAGGTAAGCGGCCTGGGTGGCATCCACATTCGCCCAGATGTGTGTGCGTTGGCCAAAGACGCGAGTCGAACGAAGCGGCAGGTCGGCAGAATTGTACAGGACAATATCAAACACCTCAGCGTAGTGCGCTGGATGCTCATCCATGTACACAGTCGGAATGGAGAGCTCGACTCGATGTACGACAGCCGGTGCATCAAAGGTAACACGCCAGACAGGCTTCAACCCGGAAGCACTGATGGCAGGCATGCCAATGTTGCTTGTGGCATACTGTGCATCCGTAGCCGGAACCGTATAGGGCTCATTGTGCGTGTCATTGCCAACCTGCGAGGTCGAAGGAGTTGTGCGCCAGATGGCCTCGCGGCCGACTGCCAGAAACTCCAGCTGGTCCTCGGCAATTGACAGGTCGACGAGGTACTGCGACTCGGGTGAAGTAACCTCACGACGGCTACGGCGGCTGCGACGCTCATCATCCGCACTGGACAAAGGATAGAGAGCAAGCGGGTCTGAAGCGCGAGGAGTCGCAAGATCAAAACCGTATGTGATGAGGCTGGCAGCACGGAAACGACCCGCCGCCAAATCGGCCGCCGCGTCGATGAAGTGGAATGGACTGTTAACACAGATGCTCGTTGTCTTGGAGGATGCTGTGTGAAATCCTGAAATAAACGACTGCAACTGCCCATTGGTAGCCGAGAAGGGGAAGGTAAACGTGAACTTTGGCGCCTTCGCATTGACGAACGAACTGATGGTCACGGCCACAATGTCAGCTGTAACATTGAGAAATTCAAGCGAATCCAAGTCGTGAATGAACGTGGTGATGAATGAGCCGCACGATGTGGGTA